ATCTTCCCTAACCCATTATCCCTAGCGTCACTCATCATGCTGCATCTCACCTCACACGTGGTACCCTTTCTTTCCATCTCTCAGCTCCTAACTCTCTCCCCCTACTCACTCTCGTTCTTGCTCTCTCTCTCCTTACCAAGGTACCATATTTTGATCTCAAGTTTTTGCTTCAATTGATTCATAAATGTAAATGGTTGTCACTAGTTGAGTTGTTATTTTTGTTAGCAAATTGAAGAAATCTGATGTATAGTGGCTTTTACAATGGGGAGTTCTAGTCAGAATAAGGGCAAAATCGTTCAAAATTTAGTTCCCTTCTAAAAAAATTTCAAATTGGAGGGGAGAATATGAGGGAAAGAGATGGTAAATCTTAACTTCCTTTCCCTCCAAACCTTCCAACCAACTTAACTTTAGAGTTTGAAAAATCATTTTCATTTTCATTTGCTTAATTTTTGCAACCCACAGAACAAAATTACATAGTTACATAGTTACATAATTATCATCATTTCTCTATGATTATTTCAAGAATATAATATATGTTCATGGCGAACAACAAAAAATTTCAAATCAACTTTCAACCACATGCCATTATAAATTCAGAATTAACACTGGCTTTATCAAATAAATTAAAATATTGTTTGCTTGAGATAAATGAGAAGTTTGAAAAAAATGGGAATATTGATTGCTTTTGTGGCAATAAAATACATACTCTTTTCATTTAAATTACAAGACAATTTTATTGGTATTTCATTATCCCAAAACAATCCCAAATTATAAGATAATTTTAGAGGTATTTTATTGCCTTAAAATATAAGATAATATAAAGTTTTATTAATAATGTTTTTCTAATATTACCTTCAAGTAAAGAGAAAATTAAAATATAATAAGCGTGTATTAATGACTAAGTGGGTAGATTTAAAATTGCATTAAATGAATGACATTTTTTAATATTTATATTTTTTGTTTTGAGAAAATAAATTTTAAAATGTCTATGTGTAATTTTGTCCAAATGAAGGAGTATAAGATAATTGACAATAAGACTTCATTAATGATATTTTTTCAATATTCTTTCAAGTGAAAAGAGAATTTAAATAATTATAATATAACGACTATGTGTGTAAATTTGAAGTTATATAAAATGAAAGGCATTAGGCCCACCAAGTGGTTAGTAGAAGTTTAATTAAAAAAAAGGAGGTCAATTAGAATTGGGCTTGATTAAGGAGGGAGGACATGCGAGTAGAACAAATGACAAGAGGCCCAATAATCAAGAGATAGTCACAAAAATAAGGAGTTCGAATGATAGAATGAGTAAGGAAAGGCATCGTCATCTGAAGGAACCACCTAACCCCCCATGGAGCTATATCTCAAATTTCAAATTAAAAAGGATTCGGGTAAGATACAAGATAAATTTTTTGATATTGAAGAAGGAAAAAGATGGAGGTAGTGTTGAGGGGGACGATGGCCAAAATATGGTTCACTAATCACTTTAATTAGACTAAGTTCCTCTTTGTTTTATTTATGAATTTACTTTCTTAGAATTGCTAGGGCGCTGTTGCTAAAACCTTTCTTGGTAGAATAAAAGACCTATTGAGGAATTATATTTTGATATTTTTGTCTTATGAAAACTAAAATTAATGGTATCAAAATTGATAAGCTCTCTTGAAAATTGGGTTTTTCTTGATGAATAAGGTTGGAGGCTACTAGATATGCTAGTGGCATTTAGGTTTTTTGGAACTCTGACGCTTTTGATATTTCTTATTACTCCTTATTACTCAATTTCTCCACTACTCTGTCTCGAGGGTCAATGATAACATGATATTTTGGTTAACTTGCATGGATAGGGAACCAAATTATCAACTTAAAAAAAAACCTCTAGGATGATTTGGTTAATATTGGGTCTAATATGAATGATACCTAATTGGTAATTGGAGACTTCAATGCTTATTTGTCTATCAATGATAAATTTGGTAGCAATTCTTTCAACAATATAACCATGACCTAATTGGAAGTTGTCTAGATATGACGCAATTAATTGATATTAAGTTTTATAGAGATAGATTTACATAGAGCAACAAATAGAATCTCTGAACATATAGATTGGGCTTTTGCAAATATTTCCTGGCAAAGCATTTTCTCGAAGACACTTAACCATCATCTATCTAAATTTAATTCTGACCAAAGACCCCCTCCTTAAAGGGCCTATTGACTATAATGCTCAATGCAAGAAAGGCCCCGTTTTGGTGTCTAGCTATCTTGTTGTTATGTTGATGTTTAGAGAAGCTAATGCCAATATTTTACCTAGGCTTTCTCATGATGTAGTTTATCCATATTGGGCTTTTGATCATCTTCTACTTTGTTGTCATGAGGTGGTGAATGGTTATTTGATTTCTAGAATTTCTTTAGTTTTTGTTTGTTTTACATATGTTAATGTAACTATTTGGTACGCACACACGCACAAGGGTGCACACAGAGAGAGAGAGAGAGAGAGAGAGAGAGCCTTTTTTATTCAAAAAAACAAAAGGCATTTTTAAAAAATTTATATTTTTATTTTTGAAAAACAAAGTTATAAAATGTTATTATTAAATTCTATTAACTATTGATATGCATAACGACGTCTCAAATTGTCTTATAATTTGAGATGAAGAGAATAATTGATGAAAGAAAAATCACATTCAAAGACCTAGTAAGAAATTTATTTGCAAATAAATACCAATATGGAATAAACTATTGTTGAAATAAGAATACTTACTTTTTTTTAAATGAAACTTGTTATTAGTTGTTGTCTTGAATAAGTTTCTCCCTAAATATTTTTTTTATTACAAAACGAGATTAACAAAAAAAAAATAGCCTAGTTAGATTAGGCAAAGTCTTGGGAGTGAAGTCACAAAACATCATATATCAAAAGGGAAAGACTTGTATGTTTGTATTCAATCAAATCAAGACATCTAAATTTTAATATATTTATAATATTAATAACAAAAATTTGTTATAGATTAAATAATCTATAAAAAAACACACATTTCTTATTCAATTAGAAATAAGTACCTTATATATATAAAAGTAAGTATGTAAATTTTTCCCTTGTCAAAACAGCAAGGAGAGCATGGGAGAGCCAAGAACATGACACCTAGTTAGCATCTCGTGGAAAATATTTTCTATATCATAAGAATAGTGGCACATGATAAGTATCATGCTTTGTATAAGAATTTCAAAAAAACTCATGACCAAAAAAAAGAAGAAGAAGAAGAACTTCAAAAAAAAATTCTAACCTTCGTTAACTTCAGAAATGATATTCAAATTTAGATGTTTTAATTTTAAATTTGTTGCACCACATGTGTTCTTTTGCCTATGTAATTGATGACATATAATTCTATGTGCAATTTTTATCACGTGAACCGAAGGTAAAGAGGGAAAAAAACAGAAAGCAAACAACAAAGGGACATGTGGACTAGCCCGTATTTTTCACTTTTCAATTCTATTTTGATCACATGGAAGTAAAACCTACGTGTCTAATTTTTTCTATTTTTTGATAGAAGAGGGCTACGCCCAAAAATTGATGATGAAATTACCCAGTGAGAAATTGAAATCCAAGACTATGGAGACCAAGCTCTTCGAGAAAGTTAGAGCAACGTAAACAAAGAAGAGTAAGAAATCGCTTCCTTTGCCAAATTATCAGCCACCAGACTGTGATCTCCATCAACAAGCTGTATCTTCTCGTCCATTTCCAGTTCAACATATTAATAATCTCCAGGAATACTATGCTGCACGTGCCGGTGTCGATATTTTTCCTTTACCAATCTCTTCAATTAGATTTTTGCAGTCAGATTCTAAATATCACATTCTTGAAGTCAAAGTCCCATATTGATCGGAGCTTTTTCAGTACTGCCCATTCCTCTGCTCCCTAAGCACAAGAAGATCCCAGACTGTAACAGAAGCCCGCAATACTGCAGCCATTATGATCCCTCAAGACACCACCACATCCAGCTCTTTATTGCATAGACTCCGACAAATGCTAATAGAAATCAAAACAAATCGGCCACATTAAAGCAAAGCTCCAACCCACACACTTTGCTTTCCATGGGCCGGATTGGAAGCAAAGGAAATAATGGATATCCGAGTACTGTGTATTTTCCCTCCGAGCAAGTTTGCTTTTGCTAACAAAAATGGGACCCACGCTTTCTTTCACATTATTATATCAACGCAGATATGTGCTGGTGTATTTATATAAATCAAATAATAAAATATCGCACTCACCATAAATTTGTTTAACCAGATCATGGGGCAATTACTCAATTTGAGTCTTTCAGGTATGAATGCTTTCTAATAAATTTTATATTATATAGTAAAATATAAAATATATAGGCACAGATTAATTAATCTGATAACATTGTACACAAAAAAAGTGTTTTTTTTTCCAATACTGTGCCAACTTAAGATATGTTTGATTTACTTCTCAGGTCATGAGTAAAAAACTCATTATAATATCTATGTGCACGTTTGAATTTCAATTAGATATAATAGATTATGAAAATAATTAATTAAGTGGTAGATTATAATCATAATTGATTATATTATAACGTAATTTGTTTAGATACTGTTTTTTTAAAATTAATTTTAACATAATTAAAAATATTTAAATAATTTAATCAAAATTAATTTTAACTATATAAATTACTATATAATTTAATTTTTAAATACTAAACAGTAATTTTTGGAGAATGCAAAGTTTAAATTTTGTTAAGAAAAAAAAAGAAAAGAGAAGAGAATTTAATTTTATTTTTATTAATTTATGTGTCTTCTTTATAATTTTTTCTTGAGCTTTTTTTTATAATTTTTTAACATTTTTTGGCAAGCTTTTCTGCGACGCTTGGATTCTCAGCTTTGAGGAAAAATTGATTTTTGACTCAAAAATCGATTAACCAAAATATTGATCTGTTTGGATAATTTTGTGGAGAATTGATTTTTTTTGCCCAAAAAATCGATTCGGCACCGTACCAAACACACGCTATATCTTGTTTGGATGGTTTTCAGCGCAACGCTCATTAGAAACGCTGGGGATATTAAACGTTAAAAATTGTCAGATTCTCTCTCCTCCTATCCTCTGACCTCACCAAATCGATCGCTCGTCTTTTTCTTGTGTTCAGCTCCCATTCATCCTCCTTGCTGTGTCTTGGTTTAGTCTTCACAAGCATAGTCATTGCCTCTCCTTCTCGCCATCGTCGCCGTCCGCAGAGGTGCCAATGGAGGTCAACGACCTGATAGTTCACATCGCCGACAAGGATGGCAAGTTCGTGATCAAGGCCCCGTTCTGTTGCAAGGACAGATCGGATCTGTTGTTGGAACAGATTAAAACCCATTGAGCTGTTATTAATTATAATATGAGGACTAATATAAGAGAGGAGTGCGACGAGTGGAAATGGAAATAAAATTGAGAAAGAGGTGAGGAATAGATTGAGGAGCAGGGATTCAAGGGCAGCCTTGAACGGAGATGAAGAGAAGACATTCATAATTAGAAGATTAATTATAATATTATATTATAATACATATAACCTAAATATAATTATTATAAATATATAATTATAATATTGTCACAGTTTTTCTGAATCTAAATATCCTAAATTATAATATTAAAAATAATTCTAATTGTATTATGTGAAATTTTTTTTTATTAGTGTACTCTATTTTAAAAAAATTAATTTTAATATTTTTCCGTAAAAATCAAATTAGTTTGTCATTATAAATCCCCACTAATTTTAAATTAAATTATTTAAATAATTTTTTGTTTAACTAACTTAGAAAAAAAACATTCAAACATAAATTTATAATCAAATTATTTTTTCCTACCCTCAATTTGCTATGCCCTAACGTTAATTATAACTTGCGAATTTTTCAAACCTAAAAACACACTAAAACCATCAAATGCAGAGAGAACGAGAACAAGGGAGTCCTTCCGACCTTGACCTCCTGAGAGGAGCAGTTGATGTCGAAGAAGACGAAAAGCTGCAGGTCGGATTGTCGCATTGATTTAAAAAAAAAAAAATCAAATAAACACATTTCTATATGGAACCCAAAAACAATTAATCTGATTTCAGTTTATAATTTTTTAATTAATTTAACATATTTTCTAAAAACCTTGCAACATAACGAGACTCACTGAAAAACTGAGCAGAGAAATTTTCAAAAGCAGTTCGGATTGCATCAGTTGAATCTGATCCTATTTACAAAGAAACATGATTACAACCGGATCAAGCATTAAGCAGATCCAGACCCGAAAACGTGTTCGAAACGCTTCATCTACTCTCAGTCTAAGTTTATTAGTCCAGAAGCATGCACCATCATCTCTCAGAAGTCATAATTAAATATATACAAATCTGGAAGTTACGCAAACGAGACACCAAATCATCGCCAGTTATCAGCATCAGGCAGTGGCGACCTCTTCCGGATCTTCAAAGTTCGGGTCCTTCGCATCCAAGGCCACGTGGTCGCGTCCGATCTCAGCCTCCGAGTAGCCGTTGCCGATCCAGGTGAACTTGCCTCCATGACCTCCCTTCTTGGGCGATCCGTTCATCCCCGTCGCCGATTTCCGATCTTTCCTCACCTCCGACGAGGGCTTGCCGTTTGATTTGAGGCTCTTGCCAGAGTCCTTCATCTTCTGGATGACTAATCAGCAACCACTTTACACAGAGCGAGTAAGGCAGACGCGAATCGGGATTAATATAGAAGGAAGAGGGGGGCAACGATGTCAATTGGAACGAGTAATTATGGGAAGAGTCTGTGGGCGGGTGGAAGAAGGGGATTGGGTGGAGGTTGGGATCGGATAAGAACGAGGGTGGGGGAATGCTAGGATGAAGTAAGGAACACGTGAGATCACGAGGCAGTGTGCAGTGACAGAAAATGCAGGATTATACGGTCTCAGTCTGTGACCAGCACGTGGCTTGGCTCTGCTCTGCCATGCCAGATTTTGACTTCTTCACCCCGTGTATCTCTTCTCCAACTGAACCGCACGCTGGCTCACTATCATCTTCAAGACTTCAACGCATCAATGCAATTTTTTTTTTTTTTTTCACTAAGAAAGGCAGACTGTAACCCAGAGGGGTGGGGGCAGGTAGACGAGCACGGTCACGGCGTTCCTAGCTTTTAAATTTTTTTAATTAAATATAAGAGTTATATATTTTTAATTTCTTAAATTAACACATTATAAAAACATTAAGACGCTAGATATAAGTTTTATTTCAATTCTATAATAATCTTTTACATATATATATATATATAGTCTAATTATTTTAGTAGATTAAATATATAATTATCATATAATTTATTTATTTTTAACAAGATAATGTTACAGTTGTTTTTTAAATATTAGTGTTATTTAATTTTATTTTCATTTTATATTTGATAAAAAAATTATAAAAATTATTATTAACAAACTTTGTTAAGTGCTGCAACAAAAATCTCAAGATATATTGAATACCATGTGTTTAATATCTATCATAAACTTATTTATTCAAAAGTTAAGATATTATGATTAAAATATGTTCTTCTAAAATTTTTTTTTCTGTAATGACCAAATTATTAAAATTTATTAAATGAATAATTTTTACTATGATATATTTAGATTGCATTGATATAAAAAATTTGTGACAATTAAGCATCATTACTGTATTGATATATTTATTTATTATAATTATCAATTAAAAAAATAAATAGTAAATTTAATTAGCAAATAATAAAGTTTTTAAATTGAATAGAACTTTTGATTCTAAGAATATATTTAAATTATTCAATGCTCATGAAGTAGATGCAATTTGTGCCAATTTAATAATAATTTATATTAAGAAATAAATAATTAAAAATTTTATTGTATACATAATAATTAATTATTTTTACATTATGAAAAATTAATAAGCAAAATTAAAAATAAAATTGTATATTTATTTTCTTGTGTGTAAAATTAAAGATAAATATATACATTAAAATATTTATATTATATTAATGATATATATAAATTTATTTTTTTCGACAATCATACATATTTTTGTCATCTCTCCTTAATAAATTTTTCGGAGTTCACCCTCGCATGACCTCTCGGCTCTCGCTTAGCTTGCATCTCATTAAGCTATAAAATTAGTGGCCAATTTTTTTTAGTGTTGAATCTTTCGTGTAAAAGATATTTGTGTTTTAAATAGAATTACTTTTTAAAGAAAAATAGATGTGCGCAATAAAAATAATGTAAAGTAAGTAGGCAAATGATGTTCGCTGGGGCGACTCTGTGAAAAAAAAAAAGAATTAGGTATGAAAAAAAAAAAGTGTTGTGCTTGTTCTTTTTAAAATGTAGACAATACTTTTCTTTAGGTTTATTTCACTTCTATTTATTTTAATGTTGGAGTGCAAACTGAATTGATGGTGAACTTTTTTTGGCTTCAAAATACAATGAAAACTTTTAAATATGATTCGCTCATTCAAAACTCAAGCTAAGATAATAAATTTTTTTATAAAGTAATAATTTAATTTTATTCTTGATGTACTTAAAGATAAAGACAATAAATTTTATTAATTGAATATTAAAAATGACTGACAGTGAAAGATATCTATAGATAATGGAGTGATGTTTTAAAGTAGTATATTTTAAATAATAAAAATCTTTACTTCAAGGTCATAATTCTATGTTGATTCATGAGCAATATAATTTAATAATGAAAAAATATACTTGTAAGTTGTTACAATTTTATTCAATTTTAAATTAAATTTTTGTAGTTCATTTTATTTTAATCAAGCCCTTCTAGTTTTATATATTATATATATGGATATCTAAATGTTAAAATTAATAATGAATTATCAAATTTTATAAAACAAAAATAGGCTTAGACTTTGTAGAAAATTTAATTTAATACTTTCACCCAAAATAAAAAAACTTCATTTAATCCACTATTTATATTTTTATTATAATTTTTTATGAAAATTCTAAGAAAACTTGTTATATAAATTTTGAATTAGAAAAATTATGTAATTAATTCTAAAGTCATATAATCATTTAATAAAGATATACAAGTTAATTTTTTTAAATTAAAAATGTAAGGATTTTAACTTCTAGGGAATAAAAAAAATTTAATTTGTTAAGCTATAAGAGATCAAATAAAATAAAATAAACTGTAGGGACTTAATTTAAAATTGAATAAAATTGTAAGGACCTGCATCCATATTTTCTCTTTAATAATTAATATTGACTAAGAGTTTATATATATATATTTTTTACTTTCTTTTGCTAAGTGATACTTTTTAATTTTAAGATATTCTAAAAGTACTTTTAGAAATCACGAAAACTGACCTTGATAACCATAAACAATTTGTAAAAACTCTTTAATTTATAAGGATGTCACTTTTCAAAAAATAGATCTTTTTTTTAAATATTCCAAGATATGACAGATAAAATGTGAATTATGGAGCTTATTTTAAATTTTGAGCCATGACAAGGGAGAGTTTCTCTGTTCTTTTTTTTTTTTTAAGATAGCTTTTCGTGTTTTTTTGTTTAGTATGTCCTGATTTATGACCCAGAATGTTCATGCAATTTACTTGAAGAAAATGAGCACCAATGGCGACATTAGTACAATAATGGAGGGGAGAAAATCAATTTCACGGCCAATTTTCTCATAAATCTGATGACGTACTCGCCTTATTAACTAAACCAATCTTCAGTTGATATGGATATGGAAGTCTAAAGTTAGTCTGAATAGTCCACATGGCCTGTCGTCGGGACCCAACAAAAGGCCCATGCCAATAATTATGTTTCTTTTTGGGTTTACTATGCTGGTGTGGCTAATCACACTAATGTGGCCTTTCGACTTATTTACTATTTTAGTGATGGTTTCTGCAGCAGCTCATTGAGTGTGCCTGTTGGACTTGGACTATTGGTCATGTGTTATCTGAACTTCCATAAAATGGATTGGATTGTTTTGGGTCTGTACTCATTCCGCATGTGAAGCTCATTATGGCAATCATTTGCGGTTAACCTTAGGAGAAAAATACAAAGGGGATTAGCAACGGCCGAGAAAGAAGCCTAGTGTCAAGATCCAGAGCCTATCGATGTGCCCAAAGCAAAACTCAAAAGTCAAGGTTTCCATGGTTTGAAGGTGTTTCTTTTCTTTTCTTTTGTTTTTTTTTTTTCAAGATAAGGCCATTGGATAATCGTGCACAAAGAGACTTACTCATTTATGAAGCCATGAGATTTTTACAATTGAAAGTGAACTGTTAAAGATAAAAACACCACAATTTTCATAAAATGTCTTATAAGTTAGTAGATTAGTGCATTTGTTGGCTTTCCTATAGACATGATCAAAAATAACCACCCAATCTTCCATGATGAGATCTTTAATATTTTTGACAATCATGAACAGGGGATAAATATTGTAATAGCTATTATCAATAAGCGATAAAGCCTTTATGAAATCTAAGTAGACATTAATTTTTAATAGTTTCTCATTCCATCAAAAGTTGAGGCTTTGTAAAATTTTCAAGCGCTTAATTGATATACTAAGGTAAGTCCCAAGATTCTTGAAAAATTTCGTAATCCAATTTTCTTTGTCATCTCTAATAATGCCTCCACAAGCGACAGCACCATTAGTATTAAATAAGCCATTAATGTTGAGTTTAATCCAATTAGGTTCAGGAGGACTCCATTTAACTTCATATCTATTGTCTTTTTTGCTTAATTGGTTGATCTTAAATTGAAGCTTTAGGTCATTTATTATCTATTAAGTGTAAGAGAACACAATTTAGTTTTTGGAATATCATTTTCAAAGTAGATCTTCCTACATTTGGCTTTCCATATATTATAGCATACTTGGGCAAAAATCCTACCAAGGGACTCTTCTTATAATCAAACTACCTACTTCATTTTTAACGTTCCAAATCATCTAATCCTATATATTAAGAGAGAAAAAGATATCAAATTTTATAAGATTTATTAATCTTTTTCAAACCTCTTAAGCTTCCTTACAATTACTCAAAATTTAAGGTCCATGCAAGCATTAACTTTTTTGAGTGACATGGTAACAAACATCGCATCCATATTGCATTGCAAGCATTAACTTTTTTGAATGAACTCACTAAGTTAGAAACAAAGTGAATTATTAATAATAAGGACGTTTTATTTCAAAATATTCAATTGGAGACATGTTTATTAAGATAAACTAATTTTCTCAAACCATATGTGAAACAATTAATTTTTTTAAGTACAAGATTACAAAAAAAAAAAAAAACAATGCAAGGAGATAAAACTAAAGTCATGTCATAACTCAAAGTTTTTGCATCCTAATGACAGATGATTAAATATCATAATATTCAAGTTGTTGTAAAATGCCTGATGAACACATAAATTGATGTATCTATTTACTTTTCTAGACAAGTAATTAAAAGTAATCGTCTAATTTTTTATTATGAAATATCTAATTTTTGTAATGACTTTTTAAAGAAGATGTCTTTTACTGAATAAGTAATAAAACTTACCATAAAGTTAGAGTAGCTATTACTTTTAATGAATTTAACAGTCAAACAAAGATTAATATTTTCTAAAATACTCACCAATTCTGCAACTTTATTGAGATAATAGTTAAAATATTTTGAAATTTTTCAATTCAATTCCTTTTATCATGCAATGATACCTTTACAAGTAACAACTCCATTAATATTAACTAAACTATCAATGTCAAACTAGCCGAATCCACCTTTTAGATTGCTGACTAAAATAAGGTAATCTCTATCCTAATTATCTTCTTGAGAGTAGGTATTTTTACATCTATCTTTTCAAATGTTTTAACAAGTATGAGCAAAAAGCTTCTGTCAAGATGTTCTTCTTGTGCTGAGGTTTCTAGTTTTTTGATTGGCCCGAGAACAATTAAAATTTATTTATATTTAACCCTCGGCAAGGATCAAGAAATTCAAATAAATTAACCTTTGTTAAAAACAAAGCGAAGGTGGATCAATAGTCCTAGTAAGTGCAACCTTGGTTGTCTCTGAAGAAAAGCTGAGAAAGGAGCTTTTCATGTTAGAAGTGGCGAGGGATTGGGTTCAAGCCATTTTCCCCCTTTATTTCGTGAGAGAAACATTAACTGTCGATTTCCTTTTAAAGTTTTGGTATTTATTAATCGCTTCTAGATGAGAGGAGAACTTGATTTCTTTATTTGAAGACTCTGGAATAAAAACTCTTGAATGGAAGTAAATATAACACGCAAAGAATGCACCACTACGCGAGGAAAACTAAATATAGAAACAGACAACAACAAACAAAAGTATTCAAATGATAATGACAATCTTGCTTTACAATTGCGTACCTTAGATATTCTCTTCATTTTTAGGGGGGAAAAATGATGTAAAGACGCTTCCAGTTTTGCAGATTCAGTGCAGCTTGTTCTGTCCATTTCATGAGAGAAAGGGTTGAAGAAGATACATACTGCTTATACAGACATTCTTTTCGAAAAATATTTGCTTAGAATGAGGTTAAAACTTACGAATCAATTCAATTTCAGATCTGATACTGATAATAGGATGTACTTCCAAAATAGTTTCTTTACCGATTTTTAAGTATTGTGTGTAACGATATCTCCTAATTCTTGCTAATCATTAATCAGTCATTGAGTCATAATGATGAATGATAACTGAAACATACAGAAGTCGCCATCTAAAACATGGCACAAATCATGACATCAATAAAAAAATAGTATGACTCTTCAAAGAATTATATATATATATATATATATGTAGAGAGAGAGAGAGAGATCATGAAGGTGTGAGAATATCAAATGGAGGATTTCATGACAAAAGGATCTCTCAGAAGGGGGGGGGGTAATGGACAGCTCAACATTTCACTGTGGAAAAAAACAATCCGAGTTTTCTGGATTCTATGCCGCAAACCTCTAACTGGTTGGGATATTATGAGTTTTTTTGTGCATTCCCAGGAAACTCCCTCTTCTATTTGTAAGAGAAGATGCAAAAGATCCTCTTGAAGCTGATCTCTTTGATATTGTAGCCTTTGGTGATATAATTTTGTTGCAATCCAAACCACCTCCATAACTTTTACATGACTTGATCTTCTTTTTGTAAGGTGTGCATTTCTTAGGAAGATCTTCTAAGCTCTGTACCCTATCTAAGGACGTGAAAGACTGAGCCTTCCCTTGATAAAACATTGATAGCCCTCTCCTGCAAATGATTAAGATAAAGTATTAGTCAGAAACTCAGAATACAGTACAGGCTGAAGCATTATGGGATCAAGATAAGGGAATTTTAATTTGCTTACTTGATTGGAAGGTGAGTCATGAGCTCTGATATTTCATATAAAGGCCCATTTGAATGTGATGATGAAGCTGAGGTTGACAGATAATTTGACGAAGAGGATGCCTCCTCCGTCAGTTCTGATGAAGAAGATGAACACACCGAACCAGAACCCGTTGTTGAATCTTCTGAGACGGATCCAATGGATGATGATTCACAAATATCATCATCATCGCCACCTTCCTTAACAGCCCAGTTTCTCTTCATGTTCATTTCTAGAAAGATTTCCGTTGCCTTCTGATCCATTGGTCAGGAAGACGAAGAAGGAAGGCAAGAAGGAGAAGATAAAGATGTTGCTTTATCTCTCTGCTTTCTAAAGAGGGAACAATATGGCTTAATATTTCCACATGAATTATCAAGCGCAAGAAGCAGTTGGCTTATATAGATTACTAATGAAGAACTGGATAAACCTGACCAATTTTTTATTTTACTGATATTTATATATAGAGATAATATAGATAATTCATAATGGTACGTACTAGAATGTGTTGATATCAGAACACGTTATCTGGTGAAAAATAGGAGCTTGTTTTAAATTTCTGAAGGTAGAAGATAAGGTCTGAATTTTGAAGACATCCATATCAATCCTAGTCACCGTCCTGAACTCTTTCTTTTATTATTTATCATTATTTATTATTATTATTATTATTTTGTGGGGGTGAAACTAAGGTCCCCATCTAGCCAACTTTGCTTCATAAAGCCATGACAGACTGGTATATTCTCATCTTTTTATGCATCTTTCTTCTTTTTCCTTTTCCTTTTTCTTATTTTTAGTCTCGAGGAATAAACAAGCTGGGCTGATCTATTCAAGCTACAAAGCGTATACATAGAATCTTTTCTTTTTTTTGGTGATGAACACTGAACAGGCGCAGTATCTTTTTTTTTATTTTTTTTGGTGTAAGGAGTAATCACCAAACCTTCCTCTATTCAGCTAAATCTCCACTCCTACCTTATCAAGAAAGATCCGATATACTTTCTTTCCTTTTTCTTTTTTAAATAAATCTTTGTCGTCCTTTAAAAAAAAAAATCTCTATTGAATTGACGGATTCTACGAGTTTTTCACTTTTTTTACCCTTTCTTTTCTAGCTTCTAATAGTATATGTTGCCCGTTTATTTGACCCAAAAATTCATTCTTCTTCTTCTTCTTAAAAAAAAAAATCAGAGAGTTATCTCAAGAAACAATTCTACCCACTTGCTGTACCAACATTTTCCTTAGAATTAGACTACTTGAGCAATTTCCAATGGGCGGAATGTTTCCAATCAACCAAACATTAGCCATACGTACATGATTAGCTTTAAGTATTTAAAATGATATCTTTTGAAATAGATAAATATACAAGATTATCTCTAATTAAAGGACGTTTGTATACAATAAAAAACATATATATAGTAAATGCATTTATAATAAACTCAGAAACCTCTTATTATAATGAAAAAAATGAATTTTGCGAAAAACAGGCCATAATTTACGGCCAAGGATATTGTGATATTTATTTAAATAATAATAGGTGCAAGATCTACAAAAGAAGATAACTCTTAAAAACGCCACGTCTACAAAAAGTGTATATAGGAATGAGCAGGATTGGTACGAGAAGGAATGAAAGACGTCAAGATGACGATGAGGATATGAGTATGAAGATAAGGTTGACTCGGGCAATGGGCACCAGTCATGATGGGATGTTTTACTATGGAGGGGCAATCAAATTGCCACCACTAGCTTTTTTCTTTCGTGATATATCACGTTTTAGATTATTTTATGCCTGAATTTTTTAAGCAGGCTTACTTTGGTATTATAAATTAAGTATACATTTCGTTTTTTTTAGTTGGTAAAAAAAAAACATTTCATTTGTTTAAAAAATTATATATGGGAAAAAAATTAACTTAATTTTTCCTATCTGTGCCTACGAGTTGGATTATGACCCCAGTACGCCATTACAATTCAATGGTTTCAACCTTCACCTGTCAACGCGCCCATAAATTGGATGCAACACTGATGGCCTGTCGACCACCTTGACCCCATATGTTTTGCTTCCTTCCAAAACATGCAAACTCACTCATAATTATCCTTTCATCCATAATTTCTTGCAATACAGGTTATTTATTGCCAACGTTTCCTGGAATTTGCTATAAAAAAGTGCAGTCCTCTATTATTCTTATTATTTGCGGGCCATCAGAGCACCCCTCTTGCTCATTTTGGTTAAAACAGATCAACCAGAGAAACCAAGCTCTGTCCACCACTGACTTAAGTAAGCATGACGGGGTTTCTTGTAAGAAAATAAGGGGGGAAATTGAAATAATCTGGTTTAGTTCACTGCAAACACCTATTATACAAAACTTGGGTGCAGGGACAGTGTCAATGGAGTTAACAAGCCCAGGACTGATGCTGGTATTACAATTTGCAGCATTGCGTCGGTGAAAAAACAGAGAATTCACTCACCTGTCACATTAAAAATTTTACATATGCTTTATAGGACATGTTATCTAGGAAAATTTACAGGAGGTTCCAAGCTGCCTACCAGAATCCCAAGATCTAAATCCTTGTCTTCAAACTTCTTTATAAAAGGATGACTCTGGAAGGACAATGGGATACAAGAATCAGCACTCCAGGTTTAAACAAGTGTGATTAATTTAAAGACAAAAAAAAAAAATGAAGGAAAAGAAAGATGCATTCATTTACTAACCAGAAGTTCCAAGGATGTCAATCTATCACGAGGATCCTTTTGTATGCTGCAACCATGACAAAAAATTAACTCAAACATTATCAACAAATTTCTATACTGGAGTCGAACATTTGAAGCACTCAAGGAAGTGTCCTAGCTTAGTGTACTTGGCACTGGAACAGAGCGAGGAACAATTACCAGGATGACACAAATGAACAGAACTCTGGAGAAAACTGATCTGACGGTGCAGAAGGTGGTGGGCTTTCCACGATTGCTTCCAAAAGCTCATAAAAGCTGGGCCCATTTTGCTGATCTTCAGATTGTATATAAGGAAACCGCCCTATGGCACACTCAAGTACTACCATGCCCAAACTCCAGATGTCGCTGCTATAATCATAAGTACTCCCGCTGATTCTTTCCGGCTACGCAAGTTAATCAATACATTAATCACCATAACATTCTGTATCTAGCTGTTGTTGCAAGCTGACAACCCAATCTCTTATGATTATGGACGAAGAATTAAGAAAGAAACATCACATACCGACATATAGTTGTAAGTTCCAACAAATGTATCTCTTTGGCCCATTGAGCTTGCCAGCATAGCACTAACACCAAAATCAGTAATCTTCACCTCCCCTTTGTGATTAACTAACAGATTGGATGGTTTGATGTCCCTATGAATTACATGTCTTTCATGATGCAAGTAAACAAGACCTTGCAAGACCTGGAACATAAACGATTAATCAATGAATAGAAAGAAGAGACTGGACTATTCTGCCCAGTTCAACAAGAAATGTAACAACAACGCAGCATACCTGCTTACAAACAACTGCAAGATATGGTTCCAAAATTGTTTTAACTTGTCTGATCACATCTGCTAGAGAACCACGATCCATGTATTCTAGCACAAGAGATATGGCTCCATTATGGTAGAAAGAGTGGTAACAAACTACAACATGTGGGCATTGTGATGCTTGGTTAATTTTCAGCTCCTGTACAATCTGTTTTCGAATCTCCTCTTGTATGTTCATCTGAATAACCTGCAATTCAAAAGTTTTTAAATCACAGGAAATTTTGACTTGCTAGGTTTAAAGAGATTAAAATTATTTTGCTTTGCTTCAAAATGAAGTACCTAACAAAAGTACAAGGATCCAGTATGAACTCATAATTTGTTTCATGGAAGATGTTAAAGGAAATTAGAGACTCAGTATAAGGTCATTAGCATTTATACTCCCAGAACGACTGCATATATTTACTGTGTAACATATGTCTGATTCTTTAGCTGATCATTCTTATTCTTTAATTTGATTGCAAAAACAGCTCCATATAAGGTAACAACTATAATACAAACCGCTGCACTTGTGCCCCCCTATGGTTTGGGCAATCATGGCAGAAATTCAATGTGATTTAGCCAAAATAAGTTGCCATTACTTTGGTGATAGGAAACTGCACCAGGGCTTTTGCCAGTTTACTAAATTAATCAAGCTAAAGCACTGGTGTCATCTTTAGACCTACTGAACACCAGTTTAGAACTGTAATTCCTCCATATCCACATATCCTGAGACATTTACTATTCACTTGTGAAAAACAGAAAAACCATCATTGCTATTCAGTTTCTAATGTATTCTACTACTCCGTTAAGGTCATGATATAGAAAATTGTGCTTCTTAAGAATAACAAACCTTCAAGGCAAATAATTTTCCAACCCACTTATGGCGAACAAGTTGCACTACACCACCACTGCCCTTTCCAATCACTTTGATGGTCTCAAGGTCTTCCAATGTGAAGTCAAAATCAAGTTCCTTACTATCAGAAGGCTGTTCAAAAAGGCACATGGGGGGACATAAGAAAGGACGTTGTAAGTAAGAAGTGAAGATGTTATAGATGTACCGAAGACGTAATAATCAGGCATGGAGAATTATGGTGGCCAATACCACCACAAAAATAAGGGAATCAAGTAGAAAGAACCATAATGCTTAAACTTACTGATCAAAAGTAAACTTTATACTTCCTATTCTACATTCTACTAAAGCATCAAAGATGTCCCTTCAATCATTGGAGAAAAACAATAGCCTATGAAATATGATGGGCTAACATTAAATTAAAATATTCTTCAGACAGGCCATTTCTCAATTAGCTCAGGTTGTATCAATTTGGCCCTGCAATGAACGATGCATAACTTGTTTGGGAAAATGGTAAATGGAGCCCTCTCGCATGTAAATTACAACATAAAGAAATATGCGCTAGTTTCAAATCAACCCTTCACTGATGCTCATAATAAAACACACAAAAACACTGTAAAAACCATCTAATGTTGAACAACTCGAAAAAAAGTAATAAATAAAGGATTATTACATGATCATCTGACACACTCTCACAAGAAGTACAATAGTTATAGTAAATTAAAATGAAAATCTTTCTATTCAAATATTGCTACTCAAGTATGAATCACTAGAAATGATACCAAAAGTACCAAACAAAATTTATTTTATTATTATTATTATTTTTTTTTTTTGAGTGGGCAAACGTTGAAACATTTGCAGGCGCGGTTCGAACCCGCAATCTAAGCATCACAAGGATGCTGCTATACCAGCTGAACCCAAGGTTCCTGGCCCAAACAAAATTTCTAGCTGTACTTACCACTCCCAATCCGGACCTACAGGGTTTACACACTCTTTGTCACACACTTAGAGGCTTCTCTCCATTTTCTCGTGTCTC